GTTGAAGATGTACTGCAGCACTGAACCCAGTTGGTCCGCACAGATCTTTAGCACCCTGGAGCTGACACCGTCAGGACCCGCTGCCTTCTCTGCATGGAGTCTCCTCAACTCCCTTCTGACTTGGTCAGCTGTGATGGATAGGCCAAGGAGGGCAGGGGAAGATGGAGTAGGAGTAGGAGGGATCACATGATGGGGTGACTGAGGACATGAAGAGGGTGTCTGGGGTGAAGGCCTGTAAGGTGAATGGACAGTGGACCCTGTATCGAATCTACTATGCCAAATAAATAAAATAGAATATGTACGGTACTTTTAATAGTACTTATGTACATTTTTTTCTTTATTTGGGGAAAATTCTGTTTTCCAGGGGAGGTACAATTATATACTTGTATGTTTCTCTTCATTCTTAGGTAAAATTGAATTTATAAGTATGGTTCACAGATAATGTGGGTCCATTTATAATGTTATTGTATTGCACCCCCATGATAATGATGTCACTACACCCAAGTGCTATTGAATCTTTTTGGAATCCATTGACATTTAAGTTGAACAAGTTTAATGGATTGCATTGCACACATCATACTGCTTTTGCTGTTACAAAAGAAACATATCTTTTTCATTTTGGGATGAAATTGTACTGAATAAAAAAACAGACTAGCAGGGAAGAAGAAATAAGCGCAAGTTGAAAAAGTGGTCTGGTTCACTTTATTTTTGTCATGTCATCTGTTTTAATATCATTTCCGAGGAAAAAAATAAAGATTATTACATTTTGTTATAACTGCGATGAGGTGAAATGGAGGGTCTAATGAAGATACTTTGTTCTGTCAAACAACATTTGTCATTCTCTATTACCTGCTGGCCTTTAATAGCATTTAGGTGACTGATGATAAATACACTAGAGTCTTGTGCTGTCACTCAGGCATTCTTGAACTGAGGTGCTGAATGTTGTTTATAGCTGAGCACAGTTTAAATGTGTTTGTAATGGAGTTTGTACGTGGATGGTAAATACTTTTGAAAGACTGTTACTTTTGTTTGTTAACCTGTGCAGTTGCCCTTTCTGATTGTTCCAAAATTATGATTAGATATATTTGATTGCACTGTTCATGCTGTTTAAGGATAAAACTGGAATTAAATGACATAGTAAACCAGATATGAACTATCATGCTGAAAGCAAGTGAGTTAAATATTTAAAAAGGATATCTGCTGAGGATAATACTAAAGCTATGGCTTTATGTTTCTTTATTTCTCCCATCTGCTGTATTTTACATATTAATAACAATTATTAACATTTGCATTATGTTTTATATAATCGCAGCTCGGTATCTTTTTCTTTGACTTTATATCTTTGACTTTTACATCATCTTCTGCCCATGTACTGGAAAATAATGTTTTGTAAAATGCTAAAACATGTTTCACTCTGGGTCACTCTTTGTCAAATTGCAGAAATGATTTTCTACCTGATGTAGTGGGATTAGGAAAGATGTCAATGAAAGAGGACACAACTGCACACGATACAGTAGTTTGGTGTTTTGGTGATCCTCTGGAAGAGAAATACATCTGATGATACTGTATATTCCTGAATTTGATTAACACTTCTTCAGCAGAGCTGTATTTCTCTTGATTGGATGTTTCTCTTGTTTCTCTTTTTCTTGCAGATTTTCCACCAAATACTGGATGTCTCAGACATGCACAGTATGTGGAAAAGGAATGTTGTTTGGACTAAAATGTAAAAACTGCAAGTATGTCCCTGATTTCTTTCCTGTCTTGAATGGAAAGCTATAATTCAGCAGAAAAGATTTGTTTTATTAGGCAGACATTCTCTTAGGCTGTTTTCAAATGTCAATGTTTTTTTGTCTTATGAAAGTTGTTGCAAGTTAATAAAAAGACAAAAATGTTGGGCATTCACTCCTTTCAGAACTTTATGTATGTTTCCATTTGTGTCGAGACATTTTACACATAAAAATTTACTGAAGGAATTGAAGTGATACATTAAGGTATCTCAGTAATGACATGCATGAGAGATTATAGAATTTATGTAAAAATGCCCTTGATGGATACAAACTCTGAAGTGTGGAAGTGCAGGTTAACACAAAGATGAAGGGTTCTTTTCTTCCCTAACTGATAGGCTATTATTGAGGGTCATTCACCATCATTTTGAAGAGAATCCATGCATGCATGGCCTGTCATATTCTCATCCTCCGTCTTAGCTCTGCTCTCTAAGAGGTGGCAGCTGAAGGAAGGCATTCATTAGCATCGCCTGCACGAGTAGTCTCATGGCATGCAATGATACTAAAGCCAACTAGATGGCATAAATGTTTCCTGTTTCATGTATTCCTAGGTGCAGAGGTGACATTCATGCTTGGATCTAGTTTCCCCACTGTCTTGGCTGCCTTTATTCTTATGTTAAAGGATGCAAAGCAGGGCCTTACAGTTTCCATGAAGGATAGCAGCCCTCAAGCTCTTCTTGAGTTGATATGAGTGATGTTGTAGGGCATAGAGCCTCAAGCTCCGTCGAGTGTCGCATTTCATCCGGTTTTATCACATTCTTTCTCACGAGCACTTTCCAACATGAGTTTTAGACTGCAAAAAATCTGGAAAGAAAAAGTTGATAGGTCAAAGGTCCAATGGAATAAAAAAACATATGAGAGCTTTTTTTTATTGATGGGTGAAGAACTTTGATCAACTGTTAAGATATTCTAGTTTTAAGGTGAAGCATCAGAAGTTGTGTTCTTTTGGTTTATAGTGTAGCAGCACAACCTTTCCAGTGACCTCCTCCACATTATAATTTGTGACATGCCCATGGGCATATCGTAATGTAGGCAGGTCCCAACACAACCTCCTGAACTGGTTGAGCACCTCTTTCCCATGCGAAATCTGTGGAGTGTGTTCCCTATCGGTGCTGTGCTCTCACAAGTGTAGATGAGCCAGCTGTGATGTTACTGATGTTTCTTTTTGTCTTGTTGGCAGTGGAATAAGTACTGTGAAATAAGTAGGGACATAGGCCTGTTTTGGTCTAACAGAGTAAAGAAGAAGCATAATGGCTTTTTAGTATGTCACTGTTGACTTGGAATTTCAAAAAGTAACATGGAAATATTTGATGCAGTAAACTTTCAAAGCGTTTCTGATTCACCGTATTTATCTACACAATTTAAAACAAATTAACTGAATAAATGACCCATCCCCTGAAAAGCAAAAGCTAATAGTTTCTGTATTCCCTTTTGTGTGTGTTACATTAAACCAGCGTTATCTTGGGTTTAATACGTTTTTCAGCAAGAGCTAAAACTCTTCTAAAGCAATTTTATCTTACAATACAATAAAAACTTTGAAACAAATTATGAAAAGATGTCATGGATCTGTTATTAGATATAGGCCATGGTTAATAATACAGTTTGCTGGATCTTCAATCAGTGGAAAAATAGAGTCATATCTTTTCAATAATAGAAAATGTAATTAATTCAATTAGCCGTTACAAAGGAGACGTTTCTCAAATCCTGTTTTAATAAAGCAGGTTAGGTGTTTGAGGAGTCATATATTTATTAGAATTATAGTTGGTATTGCCCTCTAGAGTCTATAAATATTGCTAGCATGCTAATTACAATCTGGAAATGATTTTGTCATTACTTTAACAAGAGATATTATATTATAGTTACATCCGTCTAAATTGGTAATACTAATTTCCAAGTAAAGGTATTATTGGGTCTGTTGTGTTTATTTATCTTGCAGAGCAAGAAAGCTTTTCATAATTCTTACCTAATGAGCAACAGCTTTTGGCTTAAGGCACAGTCACATTTTCAAACAGATTGAACATGTTCCTACTTCACTGCACAGTGTTATAAAGGCAAACATTTCTGTCAGCATCAGTATTTTTATAATCCATATTTGGAAAATCATCTTTAGTTTTATGTTTGTTGATTAGCCTAATTTTAATTCTTTTTTAGTTTTGTAACCATTATGCTATCTTCTTACTTCTTACTGTATAGTAATTATACTTGTTTCCTAAGCTCTGTCATTCAGACACATAACTGTTAAGTTATATTTTGTTGCTATGGCAAAAACTGTAAAAAAACGGGTTGTACCTTTACCACTAATAACCTTTGAGAAACCACAATTCTTTCTAAATGTTTATTTGCTTAGTTATGAAATGAGTAATATTTTAATTGTGTTTTTTAGGTTGAAGTGCCACAACAAATGCACCAAAGAAGCTCCACCTTGTCATTTACTTATTATTCATCGTGGAGGTATGAGGGGTTGTTAAAATACAGCACAAATAAGCACCGCGGGTTTCTGGCTTTAGGGTTGAAAAGAAACATTCAGCTCACCGCCCTTTCAAGTGTTTTTCTCATCAGGAGAGAGAGTGACTGATGTGATAACAAACTGTTAGGGGTCTGACAGGGAATTCCTCTTAAAATCTCTTCCTCCAAATCAATTACAGTGAACTGTAACTCCTGCCTTGTTTAGTAAACAGCGGATCTAAAGTGTCAGATACCAAACTTGAATAACACACTAGGATATCTAATTGGAACTAATTAGTCTTGCTTTGTAACCCCTGTGGACTGAGCCTGATCTTAGTTTTGCCAATATTGAGCTTTTTAAGACAGGTCTTTCAATGGAGAAACCACATAAGCATGACATGACTTTTTATTGCTAGTACGTAAAAGCACATTGTACACAAAATTAATCTTGCAATGTGTGCGCTGTACTAATCCGTACAGTCATGTGTGAACAGTGACATAAGGAATGGATGTGCGTCATGAATTCTGATGTTATAGCATACGGCCTGATAACCGCTGGTAAAAGAGTAAGCGTTGGTTTGTTTGGTGTTGTTGGGACTTATTGTCTCTTGTGTCTAGTACTTTATGCCACATTTCAAAATCAGCTTTAACCAACAGATGCAGTTATGTGCCAAAAGCATAAGTGCAAGTAAAAACGGTCAAGTGGGTGGAAAAACAATTATTGAAAATTACATTCAGACGCACCTGCATTCCTCATCCGCTTGGTTATCAGAAGCTAGCATTAAACTGATGCTTATACTTGGAAACCATAATGCTTGATCACCTACTGTATGTGTTGTGCCTTTACAATGCTGTATATGATGTCAATTTGACTTTCAAGGAAATTGACCTCTTTTCACAGCTTTTTTCAAACACTGATACAATGATATATTTAAAAGTCATGCTGAATGTCAATGAAATTTAAAATGTCATGCTAAATGTCAGTTTTGTTTTATTTTGTCTGACATCGTTTTAATTGTGAGCATGTCATTAGCCTGTTACAGCTGAGCGCATATTTCTGTAATCCATACATTTTTTAGTTGTGCCCAAGCTTTCTTCAGAATGTAAAGTAAAATAAATCTTTTTTTATGTATAATGCAACAAAGTAAAGAGTATGCTGTGGCTAATGCTTTCTGACAAGCTAGGTCATACCTGTGTCACAGTTATATTAATTACATTAAGCAGACTTTCCGTCCTCTGAAGTGCATTCTTTAATCCTTTCTTTTTCATTTGGCTCGAAAGATCACCAAGGAACAACCCAAGGTAATGCAATAAATTAATATAAGAGAATGCTTATGCACATTGCACTTGCAGGAAATAAAATAATATACTTCAGAGTGATCATTGATCAGAACTGACATAATTATTTTTTGTAAATCAAGTATTTGTATTTAATCTAGATTTTTTACACAGTGAAAATACCTGTTTACCCAGTAAAATGTTTTGTTTCCAGTTTGTACAGATTGAAAAAAATAATACTAATAACTCTATCACTGAATATTTACGAAGAGATCTCAGGGATGTTGTGTTACATTTGTACACTGAGTATGTCTCCTCTGTTTGACTGTTCACAGCTCGTCTTGTTCGGACTGAATCTGTGCCATGTGACATAAATAACCCTCTCAGGAGACCACCCAGATATTCGGACCTGCATGTCAGCCAAACACTCCCAAAAACTAACAAAATTAATAAGGTGAATCTTTCAATTTTTCACAAAGAAATTAACAAGATAGTTCTTTGTATATTTTTATCAACAAATTTGAAAGTATGTTGTTCCATACTTCAAAATATATTAAAGCTATATTGTTCATGTATGGTCCAGGTTAGAATTGGTTAATTTTGTTGTGAAGTTCACTAAATCAACTCATTGGGTCTTGTGTGATACTTCAGGTACAGTAATAACATTCAGTTAACTTGCATATTACGTAGCTGTCGGTTGAATTAAAATACTGTGAACTGGTATCCAACTTTTAGAAAAACTTCTCAGGGAAATTAGTGTTAGTTTAACTAATTAGGAGCAATTTCTACAAGTTTTTACTTCGTTTATAGAGTTGGAAGAGTGAAAAAAACGGAAAATAGAAAAACAAGCATCATAATGAAAGCTGGATGGAACATGGTGTCTTTAATACTCCATTCTCAGGAGAAGCTTGCCATTAGACATCAAGCATTTTATGTTTCATAATGAAGAAGGAAAAGAGCAAAAAGCAAAAAAAAAATCTGAGTAATGAGGCTGTGGTAACTCTAGTGGGAGGCTAGAAGTGTATGATAATAAAAGGCCTTTGAATGAGAGGGTTGTTTTTTCTTATTTTATTTTTTTCTTTTACTGAATATGCTCAGAAAATAATTACAGAACATGGAAGGACTGTTGTTCCTTTGCATTTGGAGAGAAAATATTGCAAATGAGCCTTAAAAGGGAATATATTGCCTACATCTTTCTGAGTGCATGAGACCTAATGAATTGGAAGTCTCTGAGCAAAATACATTTGATGAATAAGACAAATCAGGATAGACACAGAGGCCAGTGTAAAATCTAGTGCCGGGGAGTAAATTATAATTGTTAATGAAAGTTTTCTGTAAATAAATAGATATTTTACCATCTTTATTAAAACGTTAACCAGTCCACAAATTAAAAAAAAAAATATATTGCCGTTTTTATCTTTTTCTGTGTAACATTTTTCTTTCTTTACACTTGTTTTCGCAGGACCACATTCCGGTTCCGTATCAACCAGATTCCAGCAGCAACCCCTCTTCAACCACTTCCTCCACGCCCTCATCCCCAGCGCCCCCCCTTCCTCCAAGTGCTACACCCCCCTCTCCCCTCCACCCCTCCCCACAGTGTGCCCGCCAGCAGAAACAATTTAACTTAACAAGTATGTCATCCCCATGTGCTTGTACGCCTCAAAGAATTCTTACCAACACATTATGTAGCTTTACACAGGAATATATGTGTGTGTACATGTTTTTATTTAAATTCGTAGCGTGAGAGAAGATACTAATTCTTGTCTGTGCCTGCTGTAGTTCAATAGTTAACTTCTGGAAATAAATGCTTCCAGGCAGCGCTGTTTAAGCTCTGTCACGTTCTTTGATCTGAGTGCCATGTAAAATAAAATCTAGAATGGCTATGGTTTGGGGGGCTAGTTTGAGAGAGCATCTCAATAAAACATTGTCCTTCTAAATGTTCCTTTTTCACTAGCTGTGGAGTCAAACTTTTAAAATAGACTTCACTTACTATTATTCTGAATCCATAGAAAAAAAAACAGAGGAATGTTTAGAAAACTCAGTATTAATTTTCGATTTGATATATGTGTCAGAAAGTAATCTCGAGGTATTAATTGGGATTTATAAAAATAATGATATGGCCAAACCACATGAGAAAAATATATTTTCCTGAAACTAGCATTTTTTTTTTAAATTGAAATCTTAATTGAAGTCCAAATTAAATATACCTTAGATACAAGGAGATTACTGATAGATTGTGGCGTACCCCTTGGGCTGATAGCTCAGCTTACAGCTGTGTCCTCTCTCTTTCTAGCTTCTCATTATTTCAAATACAAGCAGCAGTTCATATTTCCAGGTAAGTGAGCTGTAATTGGCCATTAATACTTCCCATAATGCACCACAAGCAAGCAAGAGCTAATTCTTTTGATGTTACCTACTCCTAGCCACATTCAAAGTCCCAGCATTTTCTTAAGTCAGTGTTTTTTTGTTCCTTAATTATTGACATTTGGGACTTTGCAGTGATAATGAAGCAAGTTGCGTGACTTTCTTTGTCCCGTCTGTAGCTTAACAGACATCTCTTTGATAAATATTTGACTAGAGAGGATATGAATAAATTCATACACTTTCGGTTTAATTTCCTGAGGATTAAGGATTCTTGTTAAATAAGTGGCATGTTCCTCCTTTGAGGACCCCTGAGAGAGTTCATGTTTACCATTTGATGTAGAATTCATGATTACCTTTTAATTCCCTGACTGTGACGTACAGTAAGTGTCAGCTCTCCTTTTCTCTTTCCCTGCCTCTAGATGTTACACCAGAAGCACCAAGTCGTGCACCACAAGTTATTCTGCACCCAGTCAACTCTGATTCAGCGTAAGATTCACGTTCTTCTGTATTTTCTTGGGTTTATTTCAAAGAGCTAGTAATCACAGTTCTTGCCAAGCATGGGTCTAGGCTAGGCTGTCAAATGACAGAAGGTTGATGTAATTTCAAACAGTTTATAGTTCACCAAGATTCACTATTGATTCCCGAGTTTAGAATACTAAAGGAACACTTTTTTGGAGGGTTTTGCCAGTCAGGAGTTTCCTGGAATATGCTAAAGGTTGGTCGTGATTGATGTTTCAAAATATTCCAGCAAATCCATTGAAACACCCATTGCAATATGTATCCCTTTAGAGCTAGAATTCATGTTTCGCTTGCTTGTCTGCTCGTACGCACGTTTACCTGTGAATGCGGGGATGTAGAAAATATTTTCCCAAAAAGATAGTGCCTGCTGACATAGAGACTTATTTTAAATCTAAAAGCTCCAAAACTTTTTGTTTTAGATCTTCTGTACTTTAGCCGTCTGTCAAGACTAATGTCAGCAGGAAGAAGGGTAAAAAAAAAACAGGATGGAGGTCAAGTGGTGAGACCCCCACATAGATAGAAGAAGAAATATGTGTTTGCTCACTGGGTGGTGAGACAGGGGAGGTGGGAGTATTCTCCTTCTAATTTAGGTCTGGCTGTGGAGAACTTCTTTTGGAGCTCGTGTTTAAATGGCTGTGAAGATGCCTTTCATTAAATGGCGAAACCAGAGGCCTGCACTCTGGACATTCAGACACGGATTTGAAAATAATCTTTCAATGAGCCTATGAAAGCCGTTTAAAAAAAACTGGAAGAAAACGTGACAAAAGAGCTCGAGAAGGGTGTTGGAAGCGTGTGCGCAATAGTACACAAGGAGGATGTGATGCTTGTGAAGAGAAGCATTCTTTGATGGAAACACTTTCTCTACCAGGATGAGTCATCGGATGAACTGAGATTATGAGGTGAATTAGCAATACGGTTTCTTGGGTTTGAGCCTCTTTGTCTGTGCTTTTTCTTCAGTTTAGTCGATTTCATCAGCCTTTCTTCTCAAAAACATATGACAGTGCCTTTATGTCGTGGGATGCATAGCAAGGGAAATCAGCAATGTGATTTCGTACTTGCTGATGCGGTACTTGAACTGGTGCAGCTGTGGCATGTTTTGTGAAATAAAACGTAGCATATGGAATGGAGAGCTGCAATATGTTCCATATGGGATTTATTAACAAAAAAGCAATATATTGCAAGGAAATTAGAAGCAGGAAGTAAAACCAGTGCTGGATACACCTGGAACAACCTGAATCCCACCCCCCACCCTCCCCAACCAGAAAAAGTTCCAAACGTTGAAAAGCTATTTTTTGTACATTTTCTCATTACACATCCACCCGGTATCCCACACACACTGTTGCATATTTAACACTTCCTTACAAATGACTTCATTTAAGATGGATTAAATGTTACCATTTTGCTCAAAGTTCTGAGTAAAAAGCCTGTTTTGCTGAATTTTTGCAGGATAATGATACCCTCTAGTAACTAATAGGTCTTTGGGTTATTAAGGATACAAAGGCTTCATACAGTCCTTTTTCTTATATAGTCAATTCCATGTATAGCCCCTGTTAGCAGAGGTGACATTTAAAAACCCTTAGAGTATCGTATTGCTGCTAGGGTTTGAGACGTGTCTGTTCACAGCGGAATTATAATGGCTGGTAACATTTTGATGTTTTAACATTTAAAATCATGTCTGACTAAAGAATTCTCTCATAGATAAGCTTGCTCCTTTTGAGGTTTTACTTTTTGTATTGCTCACAAAATACAATGATGAGACATTCATTGTTTTAAGATAGCTTTGACACCTGTTAATAGCACTTTCTATGTGGCCAATGGAATGATAAGCTTTTCTGCTCAAAGTGATAATTTATCATTTATTTTTATATTAAAAAGTTTTATTTCTAAAACTATCATGGCCTTAAATTATTTTATTTATTTTAATTAATCAGGAGTGAGACCCTATTACCATAGTTCAAAAGGGTGTCTCAGTACTTTTAAGATGCATTTTTAGCTAAATAAGCACAGATTGTAAGTTACTAGGTGCTCCTTTCGCTATTTACAGTACTCAATAGATAGAAGACTGGCGTTTTGTACATCATCTAAAACCTTAATGTTGAAGAGGGGCTGCATCATATGCTGCATTTATTCCACTCAGTTTTCTGCCACTAGCTTTATACATATGAAAATACTGTGAGACAATAGTATTGCTACAGTAATATTAAACTAAATTCTAGTGACAACACTAACCAGACCAAAGTGACAGATTCAAGATTACACCACCAAAATGATGTGTTCTATAGGTTAATGAATGCTCATTTCAGGACCTGACTGACTTTAGTTCTTGATAAGTTGAAAGAGCAAATCTGAGTAACACTTCTACTGGGGAAGCATCACATTTTTTGACATACTTTCGTGACATAAATCACACATAATTGTAGAAAATCCTTCCCCATCAATATTAGTGGAAAAATACAGGTTGAATTTTGCTCATTTGGATGATAGGTTGTAAGATAATTTTGTTTAAATTCCTATTAATTTATACAGCTATTTACTGTATAGGGCCTGCAATTCAAATTGACTTTGAAAGATTTTCATAAAAGTACATTTTGTTAATCATACAATTTACATATGTTTACTGTTTACCTGTACAGTAGTACAATAATTAATTTTATTTATTTATAGTAAAGAAGGGAACCCCTTACTACAAATTGAAGTTGAACCTACATCAGAGGTGAGTACATTTTTTATCTCTCCTTTTTATTTGCAATAGAATAAGGCTGTCTGGAGCCAATACCAAAAATATTCCCATATGCCTTCATTTACAAAGTGCTGGGTATTATTAAATGGATTCTTATTAATATTTCCAGGCTGATTTTCATCCTTGCAAAAGTATAGGCTGTTGTTCGCATCATTACTTATATCAGTTCATTGTATAACATATTTGTTTCCTATTTAATTGCTGAAAATAAAAACAAAAATAATCTTATATCATTTTTGGAAGCTCTGTGTTAGAAAACAGCACTCAATTTTTATGGGACGACACACTGATTCTTCTTTTATTTTGACTGAAATAAACAACTCTTGCAAAAGTCTTGCAAGTTTTCCTTAGCAATTGCCTTGTTTTTTTTTTCCCTTTGGCAGAATGAGGAAGGGAACGATGAGGCAGAGGACTCGGAGGATGAATTCGAGGAGATGAACCTCTCTCTCCTCTCTGCTCGCAACTTTCCCCGCAAGGCCAGTCAAACTAGCATCTTCCTCCAGGAATGGGACATCCCCTTTGAGCAGCTGGAGATCGGGGAGCTCATTGGAAAGGGACGCTTTGGTCAAGTTTTCCATGGGCGCTGGCATGGTGAGGTAGCCATTCGCCTAATAGACATCGAGAGAGACAATGAGGACCAGCTCAAAGCCTTCAAGAGAGAGGTCATGGCCTACCGCAACACCAGACACGAGAATGTTGTGCTTTTTATGGGTGCCTGCATGAGCCCTCCTCATTTAGCTATTATTACTAGGTAAGAGAGCAGTGGCTGCTGTTTCATTATGGTCATGCTTCTGCTGTCATTTCTTCGCTACCTTCTGAACGTACGGGCATTTATTTTTCAGCATGTGGTTGCCTTTGGTGATGCGACAGAATGAAACTGTTCAATGACATATTAAGCATTTCCCAAATTCATATTAAGGCACAGACAGCATGGTGACAAACTCGTTAGCATTGCTGCCTTACAGCTCTGGGTCCCTCGTTTCCAATCCTGGGGTGCTGTCTGCCTAGAGTTTGTATGTTGTCCCCGCTACCTCCCTGTTCTCCTCGGGGTTCCTCCAGATGCTCCAGTTGTCTCCCGCAGTTTAAAGACATACAGTACAGGGAGGTTCATTGGCTCTGGGGTGAGTGTGTTTTTGTTTGGGTCTATGTGTGCCCTGCGATGGACTGGCATCCTGACTAGGGTGTATTCTGCTATAGCTTTGCTTGCTTGGTTAGACTCTGCCTTCCCTTGCAGCTCTATATGGGATAAATAGGTTTAGAAATTGGATGGATGGACATGGTTGCAAACATAGCAAAATTAACACCGTTCTCTATGTTCATGTGTTCTGTTTGGTTCACTATTTATTTGATGTACTTGAAATTTACAGAGTATAATTTTCATTGGGCTAACAAATTTTAAACAAATCACCATTTAAGTAACTATTAACTAATACTTTATAAGCTGAACAAAAACAGAGAAATAATAAAGAGACAATATGAATTCACAGCAGGTACCCAGGGCAAAAGGTTGACTCTACCCTAAGGACTAGAATCATTAAATCTGTGTTCTAGTGGGAGATGGCTGACAGGAAAAGAAATTAGATGCACATAACAGTCATTTTGTCAAAAAATGATGACTTTAATAGGCATTGCATTTAAAAAACTGTCCAATATTTACCCTCTAGTGTCAAAGGCTATGGATCTGTAGAACTAAATAAATCTGATTTTAGGTATTCTGTATGTCCACTATTTTGTTATCATCCTGTAAATAGTATGTGGCATCATTACCTACACAATTATTGAAACATTAACAGTTATTTTTATTTATTTATTTAACACGATTAAAGTCCCAAACCACATTATGTTGTCACAATTAAGATAATATTAAGAGGTTAAATATCTATGTACATAATCTTTTACGTTATTACATGTTACAGACATAACATTTTGCCTGTATCATGTCATATTTCAAAGAGCTATTGTACAATTAAAAAAAAAAGTTTTGTTGAGATGTTTTAATCTTATCAGTCATGCACACACGGATGCAGCTGCAGTTTCCGAAAGCAAAGTTCTAAATCACAGCATCGTATCTGTTTGTCAAGAGAGAATGTAAAGCTACATAATTGACGTGTACCATCAAATGTTAATTGATGACTAAAAGAGAGTTACAGAGAACCAGTTAATGAGATCTTCAGTGTGATTGAGGTCTGTTTGTGGGAAGGGGGAGTGTGTTCTAATGATTTCATGTTAACTATGAAAATGTCAGAGTCCTCAGAGCTGAAGAGGATTGAGGAAATGCCCTTCCTATGAATTACTGACTGAAGCTTATTGTCATATAACTGGTCTTATAACTGTGCCTGCTGTCACTGCGGTCTTATGATTGTGTCAGTAGCTACTGTCAAGGAACCAAATAGGATAGGCTAAAATCAAGTATTCATGCTCCAGAAAGATATGGACCATATAGAGTAATGACTCTCAGACTAGGCTATGTTTCCAGCAGTGCTCAGAATACTTGATAGGATGTAAAAGCCTTTGCTCTCTCTGTCAAGCAATGCTAGTAAAATCGTCTAAACAGTCTCGAATAAGCTATCTTGAGAGCTGTACGATTCTTTCTTTAAAAATCACGTTTTAATTTCAGCTATCTTTGATTCAAATTCAAATATGAGCTGGTAAGTTGTCCCAGGAGCATTTCTTTCAGGCCACGCAGATCTGTGGTGGTTGAAATTGCATGCGTCTTCTGAGATTGCACTGCAAAAAAAGTATCTCCGCGATTTGCATTTTCTGCTTCATTCGTCATGTTGAGAAGAAAGAGTTATTGTATGTAATTTAGAAACAGAATGTTGCATATGCTAGGAAAAATTGGATTGCTTTGCTATTCACAAATTGTAATGTCTGAGTTAATGATTCGCAAGTTCACCCCTTTTGGCCAGGTCAGTTTTACACTTTAAAAGAGCATGACCAAGCAAATGCACATTCTACGCATATCAAATCATATGTACAGTATTGTAACGCAAGTCTTATCAGTCTGTGGGAAGCAACACACACAGCACATTATTAGAGGAAGGAGCTTTTTATTCAGTTGGATCCAATTTGCAGTTGCGAAATAGCAAAATTAAATTTCCCTGTGCTGATCATTATTTTGTCTCACTGTGGTGGGCAGCTTTCCTCCCAGTCACTTCGCATCAGGAGCCGAAGAGTCCATTTATTCATTACAGCAGAGCCTGCTGATGGAGCTCTAAGTCATCTGTCATTTAGTATAATTGAGCCTGACTGAGCTTGAGGTGCCATGCAGCATAGACTGGGTTAACGAGGACAGGTATAGAATGCACAGCTACAAGAAACAAACTGTGCCATATATTCTTTATCTACACTTTTCATGTAGACCTGAAAGCACAGATTTGCTTGAAATAGTTATGGTTTGCATTAAAAATGAATTTGTATACTTGTTTAGAAAATATGGTTGAAACTTCAAAAAATTGTGGACATGCTCAGAGCTCAGAGACCTCTACATAATTCTGTTTTTCCTAAACTGAGAGGCTCTTGTTTATTTCTTTTTATATTTATTGGAAAAGTGAGTCAGCAGGACATGGATGAATCATTTTCTCAAGTGCATGACTGAATCTTGCCTTTTTTAAAGAGAAAATATCCCAATAGATATTGAGCATACCGGTTATCATACAATTAGATGAGATAAGATAAGATCTATTTATTAGCCATATACAATTTCTTGCATTAGGAATTCGTCTTTTCGCATAACCCAGCTTGCTCTCCATGAGACACAGACACACAGGGAGAGAAGTTTGGGGTCAGAGCGCAGGGTCAGCCATTGCATGACTGGTGATGTCAGAATTCACTGTGAGCAGATCTCCTCTGCAGAGTTATGTCTTCCTTCCGTAAAAACCCATCACTGGAGTCAATTTTTCTCTAACTTGTTTTTCCTCTGACATGGACCAACAGTCACACACACTCTGCCCAGTGCAGGCAATGCTACAGTATACAGACTGTACAAGGTGATTTACACATGCAGCCATTTAATTAAAAAGTGTCAGACAGCATACCACAACAAGTGCAGCAGCATAATGAACTACTGCATCATACCATTTTTGTTTTTTCAAATAATCTGATGCAGAATGCACTGCTCTGTAAAACTGCCAGGTGGTGTAGTAAATCCTTAAAGTACTGCAGCTGCTTACTGTATGGTTGTCAGACAATCTTATTTTAATAAAAGCAATATATAAAAGGGTTTTTAAGGAAACCACACCTTGGCCACAGCAGCACCACAATATTAATGACAAAATGCCTTTGATTTATAATATGCTGTTTTTCAGAACATTTCTCAGTAATTTCGAGCAGTTTTTTTATTTGTATCGCTTCATTTGGAAACAGTTCTAAATGAAATGGACTTTGGGTCTGTTTGGTTTCATTTCCTCTGCAAGCAATCATAACATCAGTGTTTTTAATTATTTGTTGTTTGAATGTATTTTTAATAGCTGCATCTGTATGGCACACTACCAGTTAATGATTAGTTCCAAACTAACTGTGAAACGTGACGTGATACTTTCCTGTCCCATTAAATTGTCAACACAGATGCTCTGGCCTGTGATTTAGCTGATCTCTCCTCCATTTTATCTTTACTTCTAGTAAAAAATGGCAAATCAATCTTTGCAGTTAGTGCAGATGCATAACCTTCTGTGGGGACAAACAGAATACACAGGTACAGTAGAATGAAAAGCATAGTTTTGTCTAGGGTGCATTCAAAGCTTTCTGGAGTAATTGTTTGCACCATAGCAGGTACAGCACTTACATAAACAAGACAATTTAGGGGTGTGTCTTGTTAGATGGCTGTTGGAATGGGCAAGCTTGCCCTGCTTTTCATCAAGCAAATTGAACTTGATTTCTGGGAGATGAAGTACCTGCCCTCAAGCTTGTTGGTGGCTTTTATTCTTGAGTGTAAGGAACAAAAAGCATAATGGATGTTAGCATAGAAGGTGAACGTACTGTTTATTAGAATGCCTTCCTTGCATTATTTGTGTGGGATTAAAATCCTAGTCATTCAATTCAAGTCATTTATCCTGAAACGGGTCTGAACAAACATGCAAAATTGAACTTGCATTTTCATGCGTCAGAAGGTTGCATTTGAGATATCCGAATTGAGATTTATTGATTTCAGACATTCTGTTTATAGTAGTTTGCTGTGCATTTGGCTGTTTTACATGTATTTTCACAGCATGGAAAATCATTTGCTTTTTGACTCACTCTACGGAAAATAAAATATGAACATTTCTGGGACCGAATACGTGGAGCTATTATAATAATATATTTTTTTAAGCAGTTCAAGTCAAGTAATTTTTCTCTTCTCAAAGTTATATAACACCTGTCTTTTCACTGTTAATTAATGTCAGAACTCAAACACTGTGAACAGAACTGAATATTTAGAAATCCTAAAACAAATGATCGCAATAATGATTACTGAAGCTCTGGGGTCTTGCTTTGTGCACTGAAATGCATGATGTGCTGCAATGGGACTCAACTTTTTTTATCTCTTTGATTCATTTCAAAAACAAAAAATCAAGACAAGAGTCAAGGAGGTTAAGAGTTACTCCCCTTGGGGAGTGGTGATGTCTTTCTGAAAGTGGTGCTATCAAAGAAGTGGAAAGGTAGACATAACTACAACAGCAGTGTATTATCATTTGTTATAATATTTTAAACCACTGCCAAGTACTGATTTTGGAGCTACTGTATGACTTACTATAGGCTTTCTTCCTGATACATACTCACTTATTACCAAAGGAGTATAGGACTTATACACATTCCCTTGCAGTTTTTTTTATTTTTGCTTGTCCATCTTTCCTATCTTGTTGAGCATTTTCAAAATATCAAATTTCGAGTGGGCTTGTGTTTTTCTTGTACTTCTACCAAATTCTTTGAAATTTCTAAAGCTCGGCATACTCCAAAGTCTAAAGTTTCTCAGCTGTATATGAATATTCTTGTGTCTATGTCAATCTATCCTGAGGTCATTTTGAGATTTCAGCAGTATGCTTCAGTCACCTGTCACAAAACTGAGCAGTCAGGTTTCCAGAAGCTGTCATTGAACTACATTTGTAAAGAACTTAATTTATCCCTGTGAAGGTTATTCTGCAAATTAAAAAATAGTGCTGCCTTTCATAGGGCTACAGATTATGTACTGTAAAATGTCTCTCTGTGGATTAAGCAGCATAAGATAATGATGTTATTAGCCTTTATTATTATTTATTCCATTCTTCATTACATGTCAGTGGTGTCCTTTACTGTCCAAAACACAAACAAGTTTTGTTTGAACACACTTTGAAAATTTCACCATTGAGTTTCGGGACAACCATACAAATTGTCTTGTGTATGATGTCATGTGTATCATGCCTATTGCTTTCAATAATGTATTCACAAGGATCACAAAAGATTATTTGCCGATTTCAAACAGATATGGCAAATATTCTGTGCTTTTTTATGAAGTTCAAAGTAATTCTATTCTTAGAATGTAATTATTTCTTTTACCAATTCTTATAATTCATTCCAAGTCACAAGTCATTCAATTTCTAGGACAATTCTAAGTGTTTTGACTGTTGCTGTAATCAAGCCTTTGAAACTCTAGAATGTTGAACAAACATGGTGTGTACTATTGTAGTAAATCAAGTTATTTTGTTTTGAATAATGTACTTTACACAGTTATCATAAATGGGTAAAGGATCCAAACATATTTTGTCAAGGTTACTTTGCACAATATAACACCTATTCAATTGTTTTTATATCTAATTCGATTACTGTCTATATTAATTTATCCATATTTATTGTTTCAGCTTATGTAAAGGAAGGACCCTTTACTCAGTTGTGAGAGATGCCAAAGTTGTCCTTGATGTCAACAAAACCAGGCAGATAGCACAGGAAATGGTCAAGGTAATGTAAACATTGGTTTGTAACTATCTACAGAAGAAATTAATTAATTCTTAAATGGACATTGTGCTCTTAATATACAGTGTTCTCCTAATTTTGATTCAATATCCAAATGAGGATTTTATTAAGTTCCACTTAATTTTCTTTTTTTCCCATTTATTTTAGGGGATGGGTTACCTCCATGCTAAAGGAATTCTTCACAAAGACATGAAGTCTAAAAATGTATTTTACGATAACGGCAAAGTGGTCATCACTGATTTTGGTCTCTTCACTATATCTGGAGTTTTACAGGCGGGCAGGTATGTTTAAAATATATAGATAACTTTCAATATATATAGATAACTTTAGTATGACTGAAGAGTATTAAGTTCAACACATTGCCTTTTCAATCATTAAATAATTCCACCATTTTTTCTGTGAACTATTCAGATAATATGATACACTTAATCTGCCATAAATTCTAAGAGTGTTTCAGGGAGGTAGTTACAAAAAACAGGAAGTTTCATAAAACACACCAAATACGTAACATAAGTCAATGTACAATTTAAAAAAGTGTAAGTAGCTGTCTAAGTGTTAATACAGTAGAAACATGGTAGCACTGGAATTGAGCTTGAATAATACAGTTTGGCATAGTCTTCAACAGGACAGTAAAACATCAAAAATTGCTCACTAAAAGGTTTTCCTCTTGCTTGAGCAAGGTCGATACTGTGACTATCGGTCTGGAAAGGTGGTTCAGGTGCCTGGAAGTTCTTTCCGGGATTCACAATCATCATTTTCTCCCCTTGTTGAGAAGTGTGTGGATTTGCCTTAAGGTTTGGGTGCTCTCAGATAATACATGTTGTCATTTTGCTGTTTCCTCAACAGCAGAAAGTAATACCCATATCCTGCCGACAACTCAACAACAAAGTGAATTGATCCGAGTTTTGCTCTTTAACTATCAAAATATTTGAAGGACAATACCACTGTATTCTTTTATATGGATTCACTTGTCAAAAGTAATATATGATTATCTGAAATGGCTTTCACTTTGTCCTTTCTTAACAGCATCTTCCCTTAAATAGAGCTGCTTATTCCCCTATTGGCAAAATGCTCACATTATAGTACGTGGAGATGGGCCCAGTGCCTATTGCTTTCCCTCAATGAAAACTATGCTTCATGGGCTTCCCACATTATTGAAGGATGTGATAAAAAAAATATTTTTTATTAAACAGCAACTGTTTTTAGGAGTGATTTACAAACAATAGAAGAGACTGATTTATTTATTTTTTTCTAAAATTATTAGAACTGTTTAATGATGTATATACTGTATGCGTTGTCTGTAACGTAATGTCATACAATGCAGTGTGAGGCTTAAACATCTCTACTATTTACAGCTAAACAACATTGTTTCAGTTTTAGAAATTGAATATAACTTTTAATTTTTACAGCTGAGTTTATCTGGTACCCATTATGTTGAAAGAGAGCAATATGTAATATTGAAAAAAAGTAAATCAGACACATCCAAAGTTTTCTGAGATATGCTTCTGCAATGCAAAATTAAGGAAACAGGCAAATCTGGTAGGTAAGATCTTTCCAAACGTCAGAAACCGGGCTCTCAAGTGATGTAGTCTGTGAAACAGGCTTAATACTATCACCAAGCTTTTGGAAGACGGAGAAAGATGTCAGTAACCCCAGTGACTTGTCAGGGTGCCTCTGATCTTGTAGTGCTCTTAGTGACAACAGCATCTCTCCAATCTCCACAGACTTCTGGCAGATTTGTGAGGGTTGAGGTGAGAATAAAAAAGTGGTAGCATCATAGCAGCAAAGCTGAGTTGACTAAAAATACTTTATATGAGGAAGAATAATTCCTAAGAAAAACATAAAACATAAATGTGCTTTGAGACATATAAACCAGAACAATGAGGTATTTACAGCCCCTCTGGTCTTTGTTTTTTGTGTTCTGAATGCATTACTTTGTAATTAATTTATATCATGAAATGTAGCCTGAGGGGCGTTCACAAACCTAATTGATTCATAATGAATGTAATATCTGAGCATTAAATCACAGTGATTCATGGCATAATGACTAAATACCTAATTGAATTGAGGATTTAATCTTTTTTCTGGTAAAGCCATTAAAAAATACTGTATTAACATTTTTTCCTCTGATGCAAATTTAATTTTGATTTCAGTTCATGGAGCAGCTCATTATTTGGGGGCTTAGAAAAAAATCTAAAAGCTTACTAAAAAAATCTCTCCTTTTGCAACTAAACTGTGTAAAACAAAAAAGTCCCACAGCTACAGTATAAACACAGAGTGGGAGTTTAGGATTTAGAAATCTCCTAATATGCTCCAAGCTTTCTTCAACAGATTGGATGCTGTTCATAACCACAGCAAGCAAACATTGTGGGTAAGAGAGATAGCAGTATCTCTTTAGTACTTTTTTGTTCTGAAGGGCATTTTTTTATTCAATTGCAAAAGTGTTTTAGCTTTGGTCTGGTTTGCCTAAAGACGTAGAAATAGAGTTCTGAACTTAACATTTCAAGAATAAATCTTCAAAGAACTAGCAAAAAAAGCCTTTTTCTTAAATGTGTTTCTTAACAAAACTTTATCTGGCATTTTCTTTTTGTCAAATGGACTAAAAATGTAAGTGCTGCCGGAATTCCCTGATATATTAATAGAAGCTGAAGGCTATTTATGTAACAATAAATGTGATTTATCATAACTAGTCACTTGCAGTTTCACATCTTTAGTGCCAGTGAACGTTTTAATTCATCATAATTTTCATTTTAGCTTCCTTCATTTATGTAATTCTTATAGAACCGGTTTCTTAATGGTGACATACAGGTACAGTATTACAATATTACAATAATACAATACATTATCACACCTTGTTATGCTTGTTTCCAGCTCAGGTTGATGGTGTGTTTGGCTCCTGGCTATTCTTTACATAACGACATGCCAAAAAACTAAAACATATATGCGGTCGCAAATTATTAAACATTTTACAACAGCATAATACAATTTAAAAGCAAAGGCAATAAACAAAATCAGCTGCAGTGCCAGACCTGACCAGCAGTACAAGGCAGCTGATCATGTGTATAAAAAGTAGGATTCATTACTTCTAAATAAAAAAAGAATCTGTAATTTTACCACCTAAAAATCATCAGATGTCAAAGACTTGGAATAAATAATATTTGCTTTTAATTGAGGTCATTTGCAATTTTTTCAACAGAAATTAAAGCTGGCCATTTCTGACGTATTGGAACAACTTACTTGTTAAATTGATTAAAAAGGCAGAATGTTTTTGGTTATAAATTTGAAATTAAGAGCAAACTACAAGAGCTGTAGACCTGTATACCAGAGCACTTCTTTAAATAGCATAAGTTATAGTGAGACACTAATTTAATAGCCTTTAGAATTTCATATTGTTACTAAACTTGAGTGGAGCTGTGGTACCTCAGATGGCAAGGGTGTCTAGCTTCTGACCGGAAGGTCCCAGGTTCAATCCCAGGTAGGGTCAAGTGATATAGCTAGCGCTAATTCCTCCCAGACAGCTACCATGTCCACTCAGCCTGCTTTCCAAATGAGTACTGGGGGAAATGCCCCCCATTCCCGATGGGCCTTTATGGCCTGAAAAGGGACCTACCTACAAAACTTGTGTAGATCAGTTTGATATAATTTAATTTCAGTCTTTATTTGTGGATTGTTGTATTTCAGTCGACTGGGTATATCTGTTGTATGTCCGCATATATAACAATTCCTTGTCCAGATGTCCAGAGAAGTTTGTATCTCTGATAGTGGTTTACAATGACATTCATTTTGAAATGTATTCTAATATAAAGAAGCTGCCTACTTTTGAAAAGATTTCAATATGATTTGATATTTATGCAAGGCTCAGTTATGAGTGCTCCAAGACTATTGTCCTATACTGTGCATGTGTCTTATCCATTAGCATATACATGTACATAGTTTATGTAATTTTCAATAGAAAGATGTATCTGAGTTTTGAAATTGTGTAAGCCTTTTGAAAAATTCTTATGTATCCTGAAATATGAAACTTTCAGGATGCACTGTGAACATTTCGTCTATCTCATATGTACTATATATTTAAAATGCCCATAACTAATGTGACCACCATAATATACTTCAATAGCTGCATTAAAAAATAGTATTTCTACATATCTAAACATAATCACATAATATACAACTTATTTTATAACACATATTTCAAGTCCTTAACCTTCTGCTGTTCTCCTCAGGTTTATTAGAAGGCTATAGATTTATCACAACCAACACAACATACTGTAGAATACTGGAGGACATTACTGTACTGTATGTGGGTTAATCTTTGTTAAAAATGAAAATACATTCACTTTTAAGCTATTTTTCTATTAGATAAATAAAAAAAACTGCATGCAGCGAAGAGTTCTCTTTTATTTGACATTTCCAGTGATTTTGTTTTGAATTATTAAGTAATTACTAATTGTAACAATTGGTTTTCTTGGCATGAGTGTTTGACTGCTGGCACGTACTCTTGTATGAATTTGGAAGACAAATCCCACAATTGTGATTGGTATAAAGGGTAATCATATGAATGTTAATCCAGATGGTTTCCTAATTGGTAGGGGAGTTAGAGTTAACATGATTCGGAACACTGGAATCAAATGCTCTTGAAATCTGTATATATACATTTACAATATAACACAAATACTGTAGGCTTTGCCAGTGATCCTCTTTAATGTTTTGATTGTTTTCAAGTTTCAGCAAATTAAATATTATAGTCTATCAATAGCAATAGCACTTGTCGTGTGATAAGCTTTTCTAAACTTTTAGTATTTACCATAATGATACTGTTATATGTTAAAGACAGGAATGTTTTGTTATGCAAATGCATTTCGGTTTAATACCACAAGAGCAACAGATGTATAGTATGTACATTTCTTTTTGAAAGAGGGGTGATAACTGTGATTTATAACTTGCACTACAGTGTATGGGGAATAAGAACTGCAAACCTTATTATTATCAACTTGATTGTACATAGTACAATCTACAGTACAGTCAGATAAACTGTGACTGTAGGACAGTTGCATCAGACCTCAACAGGCACATTCTGTTTTGTGTTAATTGCTATCAACACTGTAGGACACTGGAGAAAAAAGACATACAAAAAACTGAATATCCTTTACCCCTTATAAATTCTTCCCAGGGATTAAAAATGATGCCTGAGTTAATCTATAAAAGAAGTTCTTTGCATTACAATGCTGATAGCCTTTGGCAGAATAGAGTGAATAGGGTGTTCTGAAGCTGATGCTACTGTGGTAGTGTTCTCAAGCTCCATTATAACACTCTTATTTTGAGTGCAGTATTTCAGACTGTGTAATGAAGGGGATGGTGATAGGGATCTCTCTGCTGCAGGGAGCTCAGTTGCCAGTGCTGAATTTTACAGGTGAGTTTAACACAGAGGCATGTGCTGAGGTTGGAGTGCCGTTGAATGATTTGAGCTTTCTGCTCGTTCTGACTGATCTGCGACTCAGCAATGAAGAGATCAGTTAAAAGGTGATTTGTTCTAGCAGGACAAGTGTGGATGAGTCACTTTGTTAGGAGAAGTGAAAGATAATAAAATATAACACTGAAAACAAGAAGCTAACCTTTATTGTGATGGGGGCAATGCAGCTAACACAATAGCTACTTATGGTGTGAGGGTAAACTGGCTTCATTTAAAAAAACTAGGGCCAAAAAACACTAAAAGTGCATTACATTTATATATACATACTGTATCTGGGTTTATAAATTGTTTGAATATATAAAGCAAATGTTTTATATCATTGCATTAATGTTATATACACATCTTATATTATATATAGAGACAGAGTGGTTAAGAAGGAACCAGCAAAAAAGAAGATATAGTGATTTTCGTCCTTTAATTCTGTTAAAAAGTCTCAAGGCCGTAGTAATTGGAAATGTTAAATCCCACTTGAATTTCTGGGGTGATGAATAATGATGCATTCAGAGAGAATTGTAAATTCCTTTAAGATGAAGTACAGGCTTCTCCTAGGCAACTGCTGAATCGATTGTCAGAGAGCCTGGATGTACAAAGGTTCTTTACTCATACGAGAAGTGTTATGGTATATTAATTACATATGTACAGATACTTAATCATGTTTAATGAGCTTCTATAGGATCTAAGCAAATGGAGTTACCACAATCTATAACCAATTCAGATACTCAATGAAAGTATAACTTGGTTAAACCACAATGCAATATTCATTAATTCAGTCTCGCTAAAATATTTTTCCTTTTTATTATAAGTGATAATCCCATAAGTAATTGTTGTTCTGAACACAGGACTAGATTAAAAACAGCAAGGAGAACTGGAGCGATTCTAAAAGTATTGTAAGACTCCACTCAGAATTAAGAATTGCCTTCTTGAAAATCTTGACATTTCTGAGTCTCTTCTCCATCTAGAGCTTGTTTCCTGTCACTGTGGGATGCAAATTCAGGCTTGAGAGGGTGTACTGTGGCAGTATGAATAGAGTTATGATGTGTAAAAGGTATAGAGCACTTCTTCCCCCTCTCATTTCTTTCTGTTGTGTCCGCTAAATAAATCAGATTTTAACGATTTACTTTACCAAATAGTGTGGTCTCTCACAGTAAAAAAACAATGTACACCTCACAAATGTTTTCCCTGCAGGTAAGCAGTGGGCTAAGGACTAGCTCAATTAGGCACTCATTTCTCCCTAGCTATAACTCTTTACATGGGTACGTGAGAAGTAAGGATATATAAAAGGCCAATAGATTCAGATCATTTTGATTAAATTGTTAATACTGAAGAAACAGGTCTTGACACATCAGGACTAACAGTGAGAAGACCTGACTTCTGAATGCCCAGAACAGCAAAAACGAAGATAAAACAGATAAAATTCATACTTTCTATTCTTGAATGCCAAAAGATCTGTGTGGTTTTATACAGTATATATTGTCAATTAGGAAAGAAGAATGAAGTTATCATTCATCAAAACAGTTTTAATGCAACAGGTGAGAGTATTCGCTTTGATAAGTCTTTTGAAATCACTGGTTGTTCTGGCGAGCACAGCAAAAAAAGTTTTAGCACAATTATAAGTTACGAGCTGAAAGTGAACAGATCTCACGCAATCATAAACAACTGGCAGCAGGAGTCAGTTGTGTCAAACACGGGTAAATGCTACTTCCTGACAGCTTTGTTTTTTTTTACTGTACCATTTTTTCATTTTCCCAGACAGAAGCTATGTGGGAATTTGAAACAGCACTTCTAGTTACGTAGAAATTGAAACCTTGTATTTTAATAAAATGTTTATGACAGCTAGATACTGTACTGTAACTGAAGCAACACCATGTACCTACAGCTAGTGCACATTGTCAGGTAAATCCATTGTATTTTTTTTTCCGGTTCCTTAGTTCTGGTTCTGGAATCCACAATTACATTACAGAAGAGGCAATAAATGCATTAGTACTCTGTAATTATTTTAAAAAATTAAAGTTTTATTTTATTTATTTAACATGAGTCATGACACCAGATATTTCTTAATGACTCATCCTTCTTTTAGATAGATGGTTATACTCCCACTAAAAGCCAGGTTAAGGCAATGGAAGATTTGTTTTATGCTTAACAACAAACTCTTCTAGTGTTTCGTACAGTATCTCATATTGCACTTATTTGATTGATAGGATACACACTAGAAAATGTGAAACATGTCAATTAAAAAATGGCATGTCAAGCCATTTTGGAGGGTAGATTACAAGCAAAATGGATGTCTCAGAGAAGTTTGACATCAACAGTTACTGTACATGTACAAAGGTTCATGTGCCTGTTCCCTCACGAGTGAAGACATATTAACATAAGTTTAGATATTTTGATTTTGTCTCGAAATATACAGTAAATTGCATTTAATGTTGACTTTAAGAAAAAGACGTTGGCATTATATTTGATGTTAGTAATTGCCTGAACCCAAGTTTCTGAGGTCAATTGAAAAATGTTGTTTTGTCTTTGAGTCAAAACATTGTGCTCTTTACAACTTCACAGGCGCCAGGGTGGTACACCTGAACAGTTTAGTGGTATTTTGTTTTGTTTTTTTCCCTCTGTTCAGTTCTGTGTTTGCTTGTTTAAAGCAATTAACAAAATAAATGTATCCATTTGAAGGAATCTGAGAATCATTTCAATTACACATTTTAAATCAACAGCCGTGAGTCCAAACAGGACCCTGTTCGCTCCAAAGTCACATAGCTCTGCACTTTGAGATGGTATTTTCAAAATGTTCTTTCTGTGGCTTCTCGCTTCCCCAGCAGGAGGGAAGACAAGATACGAATCCCCAATGGGTGGTTGTGTCATCTGGCTCCGGAAATCATTCGACAGCTTTCACCCGACACAGAAGAGGACAAACTTCCGTTCTCTAAACAGTCTGACGTGTTTGCATTCGGGTTGGTGTTCAGACTTCTGATGTTTCAGATTTTGTTCTTTTCAACTTTCCTCAGAGCTTTGATTTCATGGCTTGACTCTTAGCAAATTATGGTAGTGTTGAGTGGGCTTGAACGCACTGCACACCAAGTGCATTGAAATGCCACTTTGACTGCAGGGAAAAGAAGCTTACCAGGCAGTGTGCACTGATACACTGGTCTGTTGACTTCTAACACAATTACATTTTCAGATGTCACCACATATGGAGGTTTGTGAGTCTGAATGACACTCTAATTGGATGAGTCAGTGAACTCACATTCTGTTCAAGTATTTCTGTTCACGGCTGTCTTACCTTGAGGTATACCCTTTGGGCACCTGGTGACAGATTTTTATGTTATTCATTAGCTGTGTTTACATGGAAGAGATGTTTTTTGGGCACGTAATTCCAGTGTCTTTGAAGTTCTGGATTCACGTCCGTGCTTTTTTTAAATAATAGATAGTTTTCACATGATCTTTTAAGTGCCCTGATTTGTATTATATGGTAGTAAAATGTGCAGTTTTTTTATTGAAAAATAATCGATTGTTGCCTGTACCATGTATATTTGATTGCATTTTAATAGCAAATGACAATATTAAGGTATTAGTGCTATAGAAATATAATTTGAACCATTGTTTCTACAGTTTATAATTTGATTATTTCACTAATGCTAAGTTAATTAACAATATGTATATTTTGTAACGTATTCATAAATGTTTATATTTATAAACATTTAATATAGCCATATAAATATCATATAAATTAGTCTTAAAGTGATTTTGTTTAGAAAAAATGATTTTTTCATCAACTTTAAAGGAGTGGACTAATTTCAGGGTTGAGGCTTTTACCTTTGATCATGGGCTTTCCTGTCTATCCAGAGGAAAAATGAAAGGCATGTGTTTCTCTGTTCTTTCACATCAGTTCTATTAATTTAAGAAGTGATATGTTGACCAATGTGGACGTATAGATGCTGTAGGTTAGTACAGGTAAAATTAAACAGGTTTACTGTCAAGGAGCTAAAAGCTAGAGTTGGGATTCTCTTGACCTTTAGCATGCATGGTTTGTCACATGGGGATATGTTTATATGTTTCAGAACTATATGGTATGAGTTACATGCGCGGGAGTGGCCTTTCAAAAATCAACCAGCAGAGGCAATTGTTTGGCAAGTTGGAAGTGGAATGAAGCCAAATCTTACTCAGATAGGCATGGGGAAAGAGATTTCTGTGAGTACTCCAAACACGCCTGTCATGATGCTTCTGTTCAAGCTGATTTTCTCCTAGGGCAGGGAGAGTCCACATTTCCATTGTCGTTTGCACTCTGACCAGGAATTTTCACAGCTCCAGTTCTGGAATAAGCCAGTTCTAGAATGCAAACAGTCACTTCAGCATAGCTCTCGGACATCCTTGGAGGTCTAAGCTGAAGCTTGAAGGTATAAGAAGACCTGTTGAATTGCAGCCCTTTAGCTCTGGAATTGTGTCCCTTAAAATGAGAATTACCTTTCACAAAAAAAGAAACGATTGATAAAGCACGCAAATCCTACTTTTAGCTGTTGGTATAAAAGTGAAAAACAGATAGACTGAATTAATTTCTAGCCTTTACAGATGTGTTACAGGGACTACGCTGCAAGCGGACTCTGTTGAGATAATTGTACAACTTGTAATGATGCAAAGGAACAAGTAATAGGTTTATTCCATGTTGAAAAGAGAAGAAAGAAAACACAACGTTTCGGCCATGGAACACACCCCTCACACCTGAAGAAGGCTCCACGGCCGAAACGTTGTGTTGTCTCTCTTCTCTTTTCAGCAGGGAATAAACCTATTACTTGTTCCTTTGCAGCCTACACATGAGCTACTTGTGTGATGTCTTGTTCTTGAATATAATGTATTTTACTTGTTACCCAGGACATCCTGCTTTTCTGCTGGGCATATGAGCAGGAGGAGAGACCAAGCTTCTCTAAGCTTGTGGAGATGCTGGAAAAACTGCCAAAACGGAACCGTCGCCTTTCCCACCCTGGACACTTCTGGAAGTCAGCTGAGTATGTCAAATGAGTTAGGAACAAACCCTTTGAAAGCACAGACAAGCAGCCAATGGCTGAACTGCCTAGCCCTGGATTGTGTATATGATATGCATTAGATAATCAATGTCCAAAAGTTAAAATCCCAAACGGCCCAATGTTATGGACTAATGTTTAGCTACACCTGGGACATTGGTTTTCTTTACTTGACTGGTTTTCATCATTTTTGTGTTTTTGTTTATGCCAATTCTATTGTTTCTTTACTGTTACAAATCACTACATTATATCTTTTTAAATGCATTTTTAAATGCAAAGTTGAGTGTTTTGTTTTGTTTACAAAAATGTAGTTTTAGTTATCAACAGATCAATGTAATTATGTTCTGAATTCTGCAATGTATTTATTTTTACCATCTGTCCTATTTTTCACTGTGGTCTTTTTGACTGTTTTATTTATGTTGACCATGTGTGTGGATGTATGTGTGTCCCATACATTGTAATCATGAGGCTATACACCTGCAGAGATGTTATGAACACACATATGAAACACATTTACCTGCACACTGGAGGGGAAAGTTTTGGAATTTAAGGAATAATTTCAGTATTCTATAACTGACCAAAATGCCTTCAAACCTTTCTGAAAGTAACAGAATTTTAGCTACAGTACTAAAAAGCTGAAGCTGCTCTTCAGGTAGCTGGAAGATAATGAATGTGATATCACTTTGGCACTTGGTAATGAAATATAATAACTGTGACATAAATAAGTTTAATTAAACATTGATACAGAGCATATGAGGAAAAATATGTCAGTCCTACATTCACAGTTTAATAGAGAGATCTTGTTTTCTACAATATAGAGAGTTAACATTTTTATGAATTAAACTTATAAGTATGAATACAGTGTAAAAAAACAACAACATGTGATCATATCAGAATAATGATGGTGTTTAAGACCCTGGGCCTTACATTTGACAACTATGATTAGAAATAAACATATCCAAAATCGCTGAAGGGCAGATTATTGCATGCTAATAAATGTTGTGTCGAAAGTTTAAAATTATGGCCTGCCTGTGATTATGGGTCCTGTATTTTTTTAAGAATAAATTCTCACTCACATTACAATATTCTATTCAGAAATTTCAGCCTCAAATGACAGAATGAAAGACTCTTTAAAAGAAGGGAAAACAAGAGTAAAACAAGAGGCTTTCTGAATGACACAGTCATGCTTATTCAACTGCTTTGTATTTAGTCTTTTTTGATATCTGTAAATGCAGTGCCATTAGCAGTCAAATCTGACAATCCATTCATGTATAAAGCTGTTTCTATTATACATATATACATGCATAAAGAAATATTTTGCTGCTTTTTAGGGTATTTCAGTCTGTACTGGAACACAACTCACAAATCATTTAAATTCAAATATTGTAAGTGGATCATATATATATATATTTGTCAGTGTGTCCACTCTGATGTTTACAATTTTAAGTGCATGAAACCGTGTTTCCTTGCAGTTAAAAATCCATTGATGGTATTCCACAAAAAGCAAAAAGGATTAATTAATTAATTTAAAAGTTTGTGAAAAAAAAGAATGTTTCTGTACTTGAGTATTTTCTGAGAACTTGACCACCACTGTAGTCATAGAGCCATCATACAATTTGTTGTACTGCTACAGCAAGCTTTGTAAATCAAGACAAAAAACAGACTGTGTAAAATAATTACTGTAATGCTGTATTTGTACTATATCTTAATATAAAGCTTCATAAAACTGCATTCATTCTTGGCAAGGTGACCACATATCGGGTGGAAAAACCTGGTCATGTAACAATATGATTGAAACATCTACCTTAGTGCCAACTATTAAAAACATTTAGTGGGTTTGTTCAGCATTCCATGTCAATTTGTGTTGATATACAGGATTGCTGTTTTTTTTCCTCAATGTTTGAATTGTGTCGTTTTCTGTCTTATTTTTCGTTAGAATGTGTTGAGATTCTTACACATTTCTTTGTTGTTGTTTTGTTCAATTCCCAGGCTTGTAATTCAATCATGTATTATAGAGCATAGTGGTAACAGCCTGTAATTACAGCTGCCGTATGGTATGTGGCTTAGTGACACAGATGGATTGATCATGAGCTATTTATTTGCACTCATCTTCTTCCTGTGAATGACAATAAAATGTTTTCATTTTTGACTAAAGGTCTTTTTTGCCCATTTTTGTTTTATTTAAGTTGTCCATTTTATGTACCCTTTCCATTTTGTTTTTTTAATTTTGAGTTGAAAGCTGGAAAAAGACTAACACATTGCTTTAATTGCTGTTAGGGCATCGGCCTAACTTTCTACTTTCAGGCTCAGAGTTTCTGGAATGGTCCCAAAACCGCCTCCCTAGGTTTTAGTTTTATTGCATAAATGCTGTACATTCTGTATATTAACATTTAAAAATGATCCTTGGATATTCGCTGTCATAGTCTACTGAGTTTTCTCATTAGTCTTTTCAAACTTTTCCCCCTGCACAACAGCTCAACAGTACTATACATGTTCTTGTATTTCCTATTTAACTAACATTTGTGCATGACAAACAAATGTAGGTTCTTAATTTATTCAGGAATCACATAGCAAACCAATTTTGCATATTAACAAAGGAGAAAACCCACATGTCACTATCCTTGATTTCCTCTTATTCAAAATCGTGTTCATTTCATAGGTGATTAAACCACATCTTTGCTCTACCTGCCTTCTCTGTATGATAAGCTAGTATCTGATGGCTGGTCCTTGTTTGCAGACGTTTTCTTCTATTCAACAGAAAAAGCCCTTGCCACTATTTGAACTTTGCAGTTGACAGTTCGGTTAAAGCTTTGAATAAATCTGGCTTAAGGTAGATATTTAACTAAATGATTTTCTTTAAGTTATTTTCTAGTAGGAGTCTTCCTGCTTTATTGTTATAAGCCTTGATTTTTGTGTTGGCAGTTGACACGCAGGTAGGTGGGACAAGATCTGGCTGAAGACCCAAAGATATTGGTTTTAAAAAAACAAAGTGTTATACTTTATCGATAGAGCACTTTGCTTTTGTTTAGAAAAGGAAAGAACTGACAGAGCAGTCTCAGAAAAAAAGAAAAATGAAATAGATGGTGTTGCAATGTAACCCACCTACTGTAAATGTACAACACAGATCTTTTTAAGATTCTATCGCAAGAAAAAATCTGAAAAAATGTTATGTCCTTTTGGGACATACAGTATAGTCAGTATGTTATGTCACGTTATCAGTTTGTACGGGTTAAATAACTGTCACGTACAACTAATGAGGATGGCTTTATTTATTTTGTTTAATCTGTATACAGGAACATACTCTCCATTTTACTCTCAAACCCTGCCACAGAGCCTTCCCCATCAGCAACAACCAGTTCAACCTTGAAGCAACAGACACACATTTCACCTAAAATACTGTACCTATTAGGTTATGCATATTTCTTGCCTATTTGGTGCTTGCACTTTGAAAAGTTTGTTTTGGGGTGTTTGGTTTCTTGCAATGAATTTGTTCAAGAGCAAATATCAACTTCCCTCAGATAAAATCATCCTCCAAGCCTTGCTCCTGTCAGTTCTGGCTCCCAAACACTGCACAAGTGTTGGTGCCTTTTCAATTGCTAGGATACGATTAAAACATCAAAGAAATTACATGTTAACGTTTTCAAGAATCTGAAATTATTATCTGTGTTTTCGAACACACCATTATTTGGCGCCAAACATTTTCAGTATTTCCTGATTCCTTGAAAACTGCTTCGCATGCAGGGTTCTGTGGACACCAGACTTTACAGCTTGGGACTTATTTCTCTTTTGTGTTCTGTTTGCTATTCATACCAGAAGTTAACTCCCATGGGTAACAATAAGCAGGAAACTCCTCAAATCAATAAGGTGGCGACGTAACAAACTTGGTCTAAAAACCAAGACTCACATAACAGGTTCTGCTACTGTAACTTATTTTTGTTTTGAAGTAACCTTTTCACTTAAAATGATGTTTTGCTTTCAGTCACATCACTTCCTTATTACTGTGCTTGAGCCCTGCTCAAGTGATTAGTACAAGGTCAAACAATGAATAAGAAGATGGTTGAGAGAGGACTGAGACCAAGGGTTTCGTGCTTCCACTCTTTTGACCTTAAACACCAAACCACACATGTGACTGAGGGTAATTACATTCGTGAGCTCTACATTGAAGCCTAAATGCAGCAACAACAATTTATTTCAGATTTAGGCTTTATACTGCTGTTGTTTTTATGGAACATGCCACAAAGCAATGCAATAAACCTTTTAGAATGTTGCCCATTATAAAAGAACTGCTATAAAATGTGTTGAGATTAAAAAAGGGAAGCACTCCATCCATGCTCTTCCAAAAACGGGGGTCAACATCAAGATAAAATGGATTCCTACACTTGATGACCTGGTAATGTGCAAATAAGATAAGTAAGAGTAAATCCAGGCTGTAATACACCTCAGTGCAGTACTGTACATAAGTGTTGTGGAAATGAAGACAGATGATCCCAACTAGATGACGACATTTGTAAATTTACCAGGCACAGAAGATGCAAAATGCCAGCACCTGTCATTTTGCGTCTCGTGTTGTCATTGAGAGTTTTCTAATTGGATTCTCTGCTTCTAACTTCAGAGTTAACTTAAATGTCTCTGTAAATGGTTACTAATTAGCAGTTGACATTTCTTTTCACAGAACAGAAGCAAATCATTTCCTAATTCGTCTCCATTGAATTGGAGTGGCCTGCAAACACAAGTAGGTCCCTGAAGACCCTCCTTAGCAATGCCAAAAGAAATTAAGTCTTGTAAACAAAACATCTAAGGAGAAAATCTTCCGGAGAAGTGACCACCAGTCCCCTAAAGATGTTCTGATATCTCTGTCCATTAACGCCAATCACTTCATGGTTTCTCTTTACTAGAAAACCAATATAATTCTTGTCTGAAGTGAATATAGATTTATATCAGATCCCTCTTGAGGGAAAGCAACCAGTTAACAAGTGTTTTTACATCCTATTTTTGCAAAACAAAATACAGCTTCAGAAGTTCATAATTTTTTCTGACAATTATCAACCATATATATGACAAAGGTCTTTTCTTCACACTTGCAGCGCTAACAATTTTACATAATAATGAGAGTGTGTTTTCGACCACCACTATTGTATATCTGCCAGCGACAAAGGCCAAATTATGAGCCTGGTGAGAAAATTGAATTTCTCACTGCAGCATTCATCAGTATGAAGAAGTTCTTATTCACACATATATGACATTAATTATTTATAAAGTTTTTATGATAGGTGTTTTTTTTAAAATGCTGAACATGTTTAAATGAATTTCAATATTAATTGGCACAGAGCTAATTTTCAAAAATAGTGATGAAGGTTACAGTACCATTAAATTTGCATTGAACTTCATCGTTTCAGATATAGTACTTTATAGATGGTACTGTAAGTACAACAATTACTACAGACTTTACATACATAATTAGGTATCACACGATATAATTTTGTACTGTATTTTCAGACTGTTGAATTAAAAAATTAAAAAAAGATTATCCTTATACTATGTAAGTTCCCCATATTTCTTTGGTTTTCCTGATGTTTTCACTTGAACTTTTGTTGAAACCCTTTTATCCTTCCATGTTTTGCAAGTTTTCTCTTTCTTTTCTGTATAATTTGTCATTCATAATGAATTTATCACACTGATTGAGCTGAGCAGAGAGAAAGAAGCCTCCAGGTAAAGAAATTTCACTTTCAATCCCAGTCATTATGATGTCAGATCACATCAATTCAGCCTGAAATTCACCTGTGATGATGATGATGCACCTGTAATCAAAGCCAACAAACAACTAAGAAATTTGTCTCTGTTGTGATAAGATTAACACTATGGTATATTTTGGTTCTGAGATTATTTTTTTATGTATTGGCATTTATATATATAAATTTGTAACAGGCACTAGCATTCAACTAACAAATTAAACTAACTAATTAAAAATTCTTAAAATATAGAAATGAAACTTGATTTTTTTAAGTTGAGGAGGATCTCAATCTTACAAATACAATCTATAAACCAAAGTCTCATGGCAACCAGGGAATTCCATGCAAAATAAAACCCTATTAAATACTGATGAGTGCAGAGCTGCATCAGGGTGCATTGGTTTCAAAGGAACAAATAAAGGTTAATTCCACACTGGAAAGTAGAAAAAATAAGTAACATTAAAACCTTTCTTCTTCACACCTGAAGAACCCTTAGAGGCTGAAATATTGTGTTTCTTCTTTCTATTTTTTAGCATGGAATTAGCCTTGATTTGATCTGGTGCTGAATATACAGTAGATGCAAACAAGGGAAATGATCCCAGAGTTCTTTGAAGAACATTAAACATGACATTCCAGACTTCCATAATGCAATATTTAACATCTAGATTTATTGCATTGGTATTGCTAGAATAATGTTTCTGTAGTCTCCAAGCACATAATGTATTAAGGCAGCTGTCCCACCCTGAACAGCTGCTGGCATGCTGATTTCTCTTGAGAGGCTGGTCACTCAATTCCCTGCATAGGTCAGGCTGCTCAAGCACACCTGTAAGGTAGGTAGAGAGACCCACCAGTTAATGGAAAAAAAACCTGTGGAATGCGGCACACCTGATCTGATTGTATAATTTGCACTCAAGGGCTAAATTCCACATGGGGAAAAGGAGTTGACAAGATTGGCTCTGTGTAGAATTGGGCACGCCTCTGGTCAAAACGAGAGGATTTTAAGAACAGTTCCCAGGCAAAGGGTTTCAGCC